AGCTTATTCTGAAGTTAGTACTTGGACAGGAGAAAAATCCAGAACATACACAATAATTTTAACCAAGTGCACGTGTGCATAAGTGTATGCACACACAGGAGAAAAAAATATCTTTAAAGACATTCTGACTGAACTGCTAAGTTCAGGTACGTGGTATTTCCTCCAAATAAGCTCTGTAACCTTATTCTCTTTTCAGTCTAGACTTTTTTGTCCTCATCCTCTCCTGACAAAGAACTTGCCTCTGAAAAAAAATAAAGTATCTGTGCATTTTATAGGCAACTTCTTCACATGACTTAGGAACGGCAACAATATTCTCAATTTCCAAATTCAGGCTGGTGATGAGAGACTGAAATCTTAGTCAAAAAAACCCCCAGAAATCCCAAAGGAATAGTGAATTTAGTCCTTGCAGTAATAGTATTTTAAATTTGACTACATTTCTTTTTGGGTAAAATAGTATTTCCTTAAAAATTCACTTACAACATCCATCACATTTGATAATCTCTCTGAAATTAAAAGAACATGATACACAGTTTAATGAAGAAGTAATCTTTTTATAGCAAAACCTAAGTTTTTTTGTTGTTGTTTTGGTAGGTTGGTTGGTTTGGGTTTTTTTGTTTGTTTGTTTTGGGTTTGGTTTTTGTTTTGTTTTGTTTTTCAGTCAGCACATTTTCACAGCAAAAACTAGTCAGAATCAGCTGAAAGAACTCTATGCTGGAGTTTCCCATTATTGACATATTTCTCTTTCTTCAAGACACACAGAACAAAATCCACTGTATTTTCTGTATTCACATATTAGTAGGAACTTACTAAGTGTGGGATGGCTGTCCACAATCCGTACTGGAATAGTCTGTACATCTCCCAAGAGAATCTGATGGACTCCTTCTAGGCTTCTGGAGTCATCTGCCCCTCCAACTGCTACCAACTGGCCCATGTTGACCAGACTCTGATCAGAGCCAGGAGGAGTTCCAAAAGCAGAGGCAGCAGCCCTATGCTGTGTTAGGTCAGCACCTGCTTGCAGACTGTGTCCCTGACTAAGTACTAGAGAATGGTTGGTTACTGCACTCCCTGTGGAATCCAGGAGACTTGCAGGGCTGGGAGGAGAATGGTTATTTACAGCTATCAGGGCTGTTGATCCACTTGTGGAGGTAAAAGTTGACTGCAGCTGTAACCCCTGTGAAAGAGAAGGCAGAAGTACGAACATACCAGTATTTACAGCAGAAGGAATTTGCATCTAATGACATGTATTTTGCAATGCTGGAACTGGATAGCTTCTGACCCCTGTACTTCAGCTATTTTGAACAGTCAATCCCAGCAACCCTAGGCTAAAGTTGTATTAGAAAACAACCAGCACAATGGTATCCAGCAGCATCTAGAAGACTACTTAATGACTATAAAGCTCTAATTTTGGATTGATACTCAGTTTCCAATCATTCCCCAATACTGCCCATTCCCACAAGTGGTGGGCACTAAAAGCTAAGCATACTGTTTTAAAAAAAGAGAGTGGAGCCAGGCTGTCTTCAGAAAGACAGGGAAATAGCAAGTAGAACAGCACCTTACTGTAGACTCTCAATTTCTAGGGAAGAGATCATGCATTCCATTGGGATTCAGGAAGTATGAAGGTAACTTTTCAAAGAAGTAGTTACAGAAGGTAGCTAACAGAGCCAGCTATGAAGGAAGAGAAGCTTTAGAAGAAGCTCTTTTAGCATGACATTCTTATCCCCACTCTTCAGCCTTTCAATCTGGAAGTTTACAGATCTGAGCTGGGAGCAGTTTTAGGATTTTAGCGTATTTTCTTAAGAGGCTGCAGAAGGATTTAAAAGGAATAAGTAAGACTGACTTATCTCCCCTCAGTTTTGCAACATTTTTATTATGAAATGATCAGACCATGTGGAAAATGAATAGGTGCTTGGTTTGAGGCAGAAGCCCACTACCTTCATCTTCTTGGTTTTGCCCTCACAACAGACCCTAACTTCAAAGTGTCAAAAGATGGTAGTGGGATCCCCTGCACCACAGCTATATGCTAAATGTGAGATGCAAGAGAGGCCAAAGTAAGAGCTGATACCTATTTCAAAGTCCATGTTACCTAGCCAGTGTTTTGTATTATGAGCTGAGAGGGATTTTGCTTTTCTCAGCTCAAATTCAGCATTCCCAGTGCAGAATGTTTCATGTTCTATAAAGGACTTGACTGTACCTGAAGTTCTGCAAATATCTTGGGCTGAAGTGAAGAGAGTGAAGATAACAGCTGAGCTGTTTCTGGTAGCAAGGACTCCCCGCTCTGGTTGGATTCTGCCTTAGTGACAACCGACTCTAGGCAAGAACCACAGTGAAGGATAACTGTCAACATGAGTAGATCTTTAAACATGACAACTTTGGTCCCTGCAGATCTCTCTATCAGCTGTCTGGAACAAAAAGTACTCACTATCACGTCTAATTAAATGAGGAAACAAGCTAGCAGTGCCACTGAGATTAAAAACATCTAAGAAGTCCGCAGCGTTATCTTAATGTACGCAAACAATTAGGCTCTTCCACCTTGCTGCAATTATATGTCTGCTAAAAGCCAAAAATTTTTCTGATGAGTTTCCTATCAAACCTGTTAAACAAGGGATGGAGAAAGCAACCACAAACATGCCAGGAAGTTCTTTTGTTGTCACACTAGACAAAATATCCTTGAAACCTGAGGAAAAGGGCAGAATAATCTAATTTTAAATTTATTATCAGCCACCATGATGCAATGGAGCATCCAAGCCTATGTGTAATTCTATGTGGGTAGGAACTAGATCTAGTTACACAGTATTCTGTTTTAGTACATGTTTTGAAGTAATAGTAGCAGGAACCCACTTTCAACAAAGGAAGAAAAGTGTAACTAGCATCTTAAAAAAATAAAATAATCAGACCTTTGACCATAAAAGCATAAACCCAAGTTTCTATAGAAATCTACACTATGATTTCGCAGCAGAGTGGGAGGAAGTTTAATATTTTGTTAGGTGGCTCAGCAATCACTGGGAAGAGATGCTACTTTGGCTTCACACATTAATAAAAAAGTTACACCACAAAGAACTGAAGAAACATACCTCACAGCCTTGCTGCCACTCAACACCTCTGTTTCTATTTCCATTCTAAGCATTAAGAAAAATGGAAAAGAGTGCTCTCAATTCTGACAACAGATATACAGCGTTTGTTGTTCAGGGCCTCCTCCTAGCAGTGGAACTCATCAAGCCAATGACTTTGTGAGTAGCAGGAATCCCAATATGCATTCAAGTCCTTCTTAGCAAGATGTTTAAGTACGAATAAAGCACAAATCACCAAGGAACTCAAGTACCCAGTTGGGTCCTGGGTATTGTGAGCCCTGACATATATCTGTTCAGTAAGAAATTAATTTGCCCTACACAGGCGTTATTAGCACCTTCATCCAAGGCAAAACTTTCTTCCACATAACCATCCTGTTAAAATTTTCAGTTGCTTGAGAATGCTAAATAAAAGCCAAATTCATAATTTTCCTACTTCTGCCAACCTTATCACGACTACATGTATTTTTCCTCACATGCAGTCAAATAGTTAAAAACAGTGTCCCAAAATAGACACACCAAAATAATCCTTCTTAACTTCAGCTGAGTGACAGAACATGACAGCAACCTCTCTGGAAGGAAACTGAGCTTCTGCAACATAGCTAATAAAACAGATCCCATTTGGAGACAGCTAAGTTGTTAATGCAGTCCTACCATCTGAAGGTGGTGATGCAAACGTAACGGTCACTGTTTCTGTGAGAACATTCCCACTGTCTGTGGTCCACTGCAGCTGAAAGGAGAAAGATCTCAGTTCTCAGAAAGGGTGCAGCTTTGTCTACTACAAGAACATAGGCTTAATACAGGACCCATAGGAAAACAGAGTCAAAACCCACCCTTTCTTATTTTCTTATAATTATGCATTTTGGGAGCTCTTGGTTTACGAAAAAAAAATACTGTGAAAGACTTTTTTAACATGCATTTTACCAGCAAGGCTAAAGTCTGCCGATGACAGTTCAAAGACTTTACAATTGAAAATAGTCAAACCATTTGGCTAACTAACAAATAGCCACTCACCTGGGCCAAAAGCAATGTAGGGAGAGGGAAAGACTGATGACACAGCATGATTTAACAGTACAGTTTGTCAAAACCGATTTTAAATCAGCAATTCCTTAGCAGTCAGCCTCATAACTGGGAAAATTAGGATCACTGTGCATCCCCTATTATTCAATAGGTGGAAGAAAATTAAGCAACGATACATAAGCGTTACTGAGCATTCTGAAGTACCTATTTCATGCCTACTTCACTTGCTGTATCTATTAATAGTTACACATTTGAAATGTTGCACAAGCCCTAATTTAGCCTGCACCTGAGACATACTTCATCCTCATTTTTCAGATAGGGAAAAGTAGCAGTAACTTCTCCAAAACACAACAATGACAAGGTCATGAATAAAATTTTTGATGCGTGTCCATTTTTCCACACCACATGGCTTCCAGTTCACGCAGTCATCATGAAGTGCTAGTACTGAACAATTGGCAAATAGCTAATAGCAGTCTAATGCTGATGAGAAGTACCAAATAAGGCTAAAAGGTTTTATTCACGTTTAATCCAATCTTGCTTAGCCAGAGACTCCACTGAAAATATTGCTGCTGGAAATATAAAGTCACAGAGAATTCTGGATGAAATACAGCTAGGTGGTAAAAATTAAAAAACGTATTTCCAGTATTTAACTCCAAAAATCAAAAAAGAAACAAAGGCCAACGTACCGTTGCTGGGATACTTTCTGAATTATACACCATCTCGCCATTCCTCAGGGACTTCTGCACTTCATGAATGTGGTTCTTGATGTCATTCACAGTGGGGAAGAAGGACAGGTTATGTCTCTCTGGCACTTCATCAGGCTTGAATAATTCTCTTTCCACATACTTTCTGTCACATATTAAAGGACATTAAAATATGCATATTTAAAATATTTAATGCTATTTCCGTCTGAATAGACACCGCTACCTTCTCCCTCCCCTTGTTGCAATGACAAGACAAGAGCAAGCTAGATGATCTTCTGACCCAGTTCTTTGTGCATCTGCTACAGAGTTTGGAATTAAAAATCCCCTCTTACTCAATTAACTTTAAAGAGGACAGCAGCTCTTAGTGGCTACCTACAACAAAATGGAAAGAAAAGACAAAAGCTGGGAAAAACAGATTCTCATGACATACAGGAAATACCTTCAGTAATGCATCAGCACTACCATTTAGCTGCAAACCAAATTAATCAAATGCAAAAGCAGATATAACACTACAGACTGAGAGCATGCCAGACAGTTCTGTACCTTAGTTGCTTCCTCACTGCATAGACCTGCTCTATTCCCCGAGACACCAGTTCTCGGATCTTGTCTGCCACTTGAGGATGAAGTCGGGAAGGCAGAGCACAGTTCTCATCTCTAACAATTTCCTCCTCCTCCTCAGGAGGAGGCACAGAAAAATGGGATGGTGAAGAAGGGAGGCAGGAAGTTTCCATTTCATGATATTGGTGGGCTTGCTGAGTGGGTAATTGTACATACCACCTGGCGAGAAGGAAAGATTTTCTACACACAATCTCAAGCAAAGGCAAAAAAAATGAGTCTCTTGGGGGAACACTCTGACAATGACAAACAATCTAGTTAGAGTGATTTAAGTTTTTGCAGCCCCTGAACAGGAAGATACTGCCTTTCAGAGCTCAGGGCCCTCTCACATCTTCCGATGCAAACCAAACCTGCTCAACCTCCCAAATAATTCAACTATTTACCTATTCTCTGCATGAAAACATCTGCTGAAGTTCCACAACTTGGTGCTTAATACACTTACTAAACTAAATACTTCTGAGCCACAGAAGTCTAACTGACTTTGGGGGATTTTTTACTATCAATATGAAGCAAGAGCCTTAATAAAGCGACCAAGTAAAGAATAAAGCAAATCATTGCTCTTTTTTGCTTCGTTTGTCAAGACAAAGAAAAAACTGGAAGTTTCACCTGAGGACACCGCCAGCATCTACCAAGTTCTTCTTCAGCATGTTGAATGCTTTCTCCTGTTCCATTCTTATGATTTTCTTGTCAATTTTAGGGTCAGTAGGAACTCTGTATTCCGGAAACTTTTGAACCTTTTTAATATAGATCCTTCCAAGGGGCAGGAGGAATAAAAAAAATAAATAAAATAATTCTCCTTCAGTACGCTTTGCCCTCAGGGGGGAAGACAAAACCCCCACCTACTTCCTATCAGATATTAGTACAGAAAAAGTTCAAGCAGAGTGTTGCAGGGGGCAAGGAGTATCTAAGCAAAAGGTAGAATTGTTAAGGACGCATCAACAGAGGATGCAGATAGATACAAATAGACAACACTTCTGTTCCAGTCTGGAAGCCACTCAGAGTGATTTTGCCCCTCAGCAAAAATCCTCTGTCCCTCAGTATAGTAAAAGCAGAACACCATTGCTGAACAGGCTGTAGTTCACCCAGCCTGAAGTCAGGATTGAGCACATATATACCTAGCTGCAATTGTCCATGTAAACACACTCTTGGCTCAGTAAAAACTGAACAAGCACCCAGGAGGATGCTCAAAGACACAGAAAAAAACTGTTAGTGTTGGATAAGGAGAAAGTCCCCAGTGAACTGGAAGAACTAACTCCTTCAGCAAACAGGACACCTGCTAAATTAGGATGACTGACTGATATGAGCACAATTAAAAGTCTGAAGGAAAAACAAATAAGACAAAAAAGTTTTGGGACCAAAAATGGTCACTAAAGAACACCCCAATAACTAACTAATGCTCAGGCAAAGAATGATTACCACTTGTATTTCATCTCCTACTACTACTTTGTATCCAGGCTACCTAGCAAACCTAAGCCTTATTCAGTTTATCATGTCACCATTTTCTCCTTCTCTCTAAATGAGTACCAACCTCAAGTTATCAAGGGGACAAAGGTAAGAGCTACAGTGCACATCAGCTACCACCCCTAAACGTTTTCTTCAGATGCTTAGTAGCTCTTCCAGCTTTATAGACAATTCTTACCTTGCTGGACAAGTGGCTTTGTACACATGGCCAGAGGTGCATTCCAGCTTTTTTGGGCTGGAACCCTTTCCTTCTTGGCCCATATTGGCACTCCATTACAATGGCTCTGCTTCCTGGAAACAGAAAGTAATGCACTTTACTTATTCAAGCAACCACTGAAGCCATTACAGTGAAAGAGTAACTACAGAAAAGATGAGTTCCGAAACAGGTATAGGCAGAACACTTCAGACTCTTCAGAAGGCAGAACACTTAAGTGTAGAAAGCATTCAAATACAGTGTAAATGCTTCTTTCCCAGCATGTAGGGAACACAGAGCATTTTCAAAGCATTTCCCAAACTTATTACACCTCACAATGCTCCTGCAACATACATGAAGGAAAAATATTGGATTCTGCCCTGGTGAACACCAATACCGTACAAGATGAGTGGCCTTGCAAGTTACCAAAGGAGCACAACACTGGTAATAAAGAGAAGCAGAATCCCCAAAATAACCAAGAAAATGCACAGCTCAAATCAAAGGTCAGCAGCTATTTCCAGCCTCCTGTCTTAAATCAATACTTCAGACCATGCTGTCCCATAGTTTCTTACTTGCGAGTCTGACCTATCTTATGTGCTAAATAACACTGCTCCAGTGTGGCACACCCACACAAAACCAAATGGGCTTAAACAAATACTGCTTAGCTTTAACCTTAAAGTAAGTGACTTCTTCCAGTCAGATCTCTAACAAAAGGCGTAACTGGCATAGCATTAAAGTGGTCAAGAAAGAAATTTCTTCCAAATTTCTTCCACGTCATGTTTAGTTATATTTTATTTGTAATTCATACACTCCAGTATGCAGGCAAGGAGCTGCCTATACCACAAGTAATATAATCAAAATATTTTTAAGTATCATAATAGCAATGTATTTCCAAAGACACACAATGATTTATTGCCCTAGAGTATGATACTAAAAAAATAAAGACAAATTAAAAATAAATCTAAAACAAATCAATTATTTGTATATCTCCTCATGGGGAGGCTTTCGCTGAACCAGGTCTGATGGCACCAGATGGGACATGCCTTTCTCAGAGGAGAACCAGGGTCTTAGCTCAAAAGCTAACAGGGCTCATTGGCAGGGCTTTAAACTAGATTTGAAGGGGGAGGGGCGGAATATCAAGAATGATAAAGATATGCTGGAAGTACCTGTAGAACAGAAGAAGGGAA